CTTTCTTCCTTTCCGTGGAAAACAGAGAATTTCCAAGAGAATTTTCTCGTCGAGAATATAGGATTTGAATATGGATCGATGAAAGGGAAAATTTGAGTTTATGAAGAAGGTTGCTTGACGTTTTTGAGAAGTTTTTAACTCAACCGTTTTTTTTTTTCAAGTTTTTCGTTACGTTGCAGTCTAAAGAAAAGTAGAAAATGAAAAACAAGTGAATTTATATAGTTAGTATTGATTTTCGAATAAAGGGAGAGAGAAATTTTAAATTTCTCGAAAATTCATTCATTCAGCAATTCTCGATATTGAAATTTGTTATTTAATTTCTATATGTAAAATGTATATAGTAACCTTTTTTCATACGTTAATAAGTATTTAAAAGTATTTTTCGAGGGACGAAAGCGGTGTTTAAGAAGATTGATCGTTATTCGAAAAAAACTCAAGCGTAAAATTCTTTCGACACGACACTGGAAATTAGTTCTCGAAAAGAGGGAATTCCACGAAACGCGCTTGGGTCTCGATCATCATCTCGAATTTTAATTGTTGCAAATTGACGAACAATAATCAATTCCATTCCATTGTATGATATTTCGTATGATGTATGATATATCGATCTTCGTCGAAACGAATTCCCAATTAACAGATGGAACAAATAACAACGAAACCTCGTTTACAAAGTTTCCTCTGTATTTTCGTCGAGATAATACATCCATCCTCGCGTTTCAAACGAGGATGGATTTCGCGGGTTTCTTTCAGAGGAAGGAAGAGGTTCGAGTGGGTTTACGATTATCGTTCGAAATCACTTTAATCGCCGTGAAGGGATTCGAACAATTTTATAGAGGGAAGGTGTGCGTTGTGTGTGCAAATGCTCGTTCATTTGCGTAGACATTTATGAGTCGGATCGTATATCTCACGAGTTCATCATATCGTTCGATTGGTCGGTCGATCTTTTTCGTTTCCATTGCTGTATAAAATACATATATCGAGGATTAACTTTAACCCCTTGCGGCGAGTTTTGGTAGAAAGGTAAAAAAAAAAAAGAAAAAAAAGGGCGCGTGAGAGCTCGATTTTATTTGCACAGGTGTATCTGTTTTTTTGTTGCGCGTTTGATTTGATTATTGTGGAAACCGTGGATATTGGTTGCAAAGGAAAAATATCGATTGAAGAAAAAAGTTTCTCTCTTCTTTTTTTTTTTTCAAAAGTTAAATTCGATCTTTCAGAACGAATTTGGGAAATTTGTGCATGCATCTTCGAATAATCTTCTCGATCATCTTGAAGATATAAACGTTTTAATTTGAATTTTACTTAACTTACTTAGCTTAGACCCGTAAATCATTCTTCTAATTGCAGAAGAATAACAGCTAAATAAACTCTGTATACGTGTACCTTTTTTAAAAAATTATTCTGCAGTCGAGTCGTATCCCGAAAAAAAAAAAAGTGTTTTTCATAAAAGCACATTCTTCCATATTTCCTAATTATTTCGGTGTTCACGCGTTCTTCACCACTTGCCTAAATTCGTGGACATCACGAAGAAGGCAATTTCTCACCGACCACGCGTGTCTCCATTAAATTTTAATTTATTACTCTCCGCGAGGGAGAAGGTTGAGAGGATTGTGTCCGTATTTTAAAGCTATCAAGGGTGAAGGGATTTCGCGTCATTTCGAGGGATTGAAGACGTTTACTCGTCCATCCTCATCGCGCGTTCTTTCATCCAGTAGGGAAATAACTTTCTTCGAGGATGAAATGGAAATGCGTCGGGAGAGGTGCTTACGAACTTACCACGCATTTGCTGTTGCATCATGCAGCTGCAAATACAACGAGGGTTTTTTTTCTTTTATGCATTTTTTTTTCGCTTAAAAGCTTGTTCTACAAGCTGCTCTTTCTCTCTCTCTATATATATATATATATGAATGTATTATATTATATTTGTTGTGAGTAAAATTTAATGATAAAAATACGCGTGTTAAATTTAAATAGAAATTATTGAAAATCAAGAAATATGTAATAATTATTTTTAAATGGATCATTCTTACGAAATGAAACTTTCAAACTTTTAATTCTTTTTAACACTAGAATTATATTAATTTTCATTTATAAATATATTTCAGTGTTCCATCTCTCGCAAAATTGTGTAGAAGGAACTACTGAAAGTTTAAAAGTATAAATAATTTCACCCCCCGTCAAAAAGATGGTTCGTTGGTTACGCTATATAAAATTTTCATTTTAAAATTAATTGAATTTCTCTGCAAAATATTTGTTCACGCTAAATACGAGGAAATATTGGATTTTTCAGCACAGGTGCGATGATCGTTTAAGGTGGAAAGCGACAGAACGCGTGAAAAGTTCAGAGATTCGTGACATTTTGATGCGAAAGCCTGGAAACCTGGTTTAATCATTAGATCGATCTAGATCGGTACTGGATAAAACGACCTCCACGCTCGGAATATGGAAACGTTTATTCAAACGCTTGCTCGAGGTTTTTGGCGACCGATGTGACGCTATCGGCCAAGATTTGAAACGGTCGTACGTTTTCACGTTTAACGTGGCCCGTTAAACACAGAAAATGTATTAGAAGCGATAGGAAATGTTCGATCTTCGAGATAAACTGTACAAATTTCAACGTGATTAATAGCGTGAAGTGACAATTGATATCGATATTGGAGAGTACAAGTGGAAAGTCTTTACATTTGTATAAAAGAATTTTTATTATACTCTCAGCAAAATATTCCATTTCTATTAGAATGGAAATTAATTATTTTTCTGAGTTGCACGAGAGGTATTAAAATTAGAATACTGTATAAAAGAAAAATAACTTTAACATTCTTAAATGGAATGAAGTTCGTTCAAGGTATGTGCAAATTATGTAAATTTTTTGTAAAAACAATATTTTTCTTTAATGGAAGAGTCGAGAAACGTTTTCGAATAGATTAAACGATGGAATTAATGTACATTCATGGAATTAAAATTATGGTAAAAAATTTTATTAGCATCTGGAATATTCGATAGTTGAATTTGTTTTACGAATTTGTTAAACGACACTTTGAAACTTTGACTCTCGTTATTGAACAATTTTTTTTTACTTAATCAATTAATAATGATTTACGTGCATTTCACTTTCTCGTCGATTGATCTTGCAGAAACAAAGGCGCAATAACAGAATTTACAAGAATAGTAATTTCACGCCATATCCCCCTATATCTGATATTAAAATTAATTCAAGGACAGATCGAACGCGACTCGAGTGTAATATTACACCTAACCTACTAGCATCGAAGTATTTTCTCGAATGATGAAAAATATAATTTTCATTAATATTCCCTGCGAATGCGAGAATCGTTCAATTTCATTTCTCTTCAAATCTATCACGTTCGAATTTGCGCGCGGTCAGCAATCGACATCTGTACAAATTGCGGTTGCATCTCTGGTCGGCCATTGCGAAATAGCTCGCAGTTTTTTCAGAGACTGATGGAACGAAAAAAAAAAAAAAAAAGAAAAAAAGAAAAGAAAAAAAAGAAAAGAAAAAAAAGGGAAAAGAACCCAGACTATTCTGGTCCATCCATTATTCCTCATTTACGTTCTCCGAATTGAAGGGAAACCCGAATTTCATTTCCATGATTCGATCTCGGCCCATGCTACATGTTGATGAACTTTTTTACTTTTCTCTTCTCCTCGAATACGCTCTTTTTCCGCCCATAATATTTTCAATTTTGACCGTTCCGCAGGAACAATAGGAAATAATTTGGTTTCTTATTTATACTACGTTTTAAAATTAAAAACTTTCGAAAATTTTTAATAATGGAATTTGAAAGAAGAAGAAGAAAAAAAGAGAGAGAGAGAGAGAGAAACAGAGAGACGAGGCATTGAGAATTTTAATAATATAGAGTTGCGTGAAAAAATATAGGACTCTATCGAGGATTTTTTTAACGAATAAAAATTTGATGAAAAATATGATGATTCGGGAATAATACTTTTACGTTTAATACCTGAAATCTTTTATTCAATTTAATTTAATTCTAAATTTGAAAATTTTATTCGAGAAGAATTAGATACGACAACGATATTTTCAACCGGTGAAAATCTTTTTTTCAGAAGAGGGGATTAAAAAATGTTCAATTTTTCCGTAGAATGAAAGAATAACCGGATATTCAGATATTAACATAAGACCACGAATAACGTGACGTTTTATTCAATTGTAATTCCGCTACAGTTACCAGAGTTTAAATCGTCGTGTTTAACGAGAAATCGAGTAAGCCAGACTTGTGAGTTTTAACGTGTACGTTGAGGGAATTGGAACGAGAACGAGCGACAGGCGGATAAATCTGAACGAGGGAGCGAAAATGACGAATTTCACGACGGGGCGAGTCTCGAAGAGTCAAGGACCGTTTCGTTTGAAGCCAACGACACGTCCAATCGGTTGTCGATACTCGAAGGGTATTTACGTGCCTTTGCACACTGGCTTCGTTCATCCATGTTGAAAATCAATATTCACACGCGGCTTGGAAATTTGGTAACATCGATCCTTGGATTTCCTCCGAATCTGGCAGAAGATTTTCAAGATCCACGGAAAATTTGTAAGGCGAAAGCGTCGGTTTTTAAAAAGTGATCTTGAAAATCGAACGGAGGGGAAAATGAATTATTTCGGGCCACGTTGCGTGCACGTAAGGCGTGGAAAGTAAGGCGATAAATCATTTTAACGTAATCTCAACTCCAGCCAATCTTTATCTTTTTCACATAAATTCTCCGATCTTTCCTCGATAAATGTCTCTAAACAAAGCCAGGCTGCGAAAATTTTTATAGCACTACTTGAAACTTTCTTTTTAACAGACAAGACCTATCATATCCACATTTCATCCCGCAATAATTATCCAAAAACGCTGTACGAATTTAACAATCATCCATCTCTTTTCTTCCCCTACGTTTCTCGCCAGCGTCGTCACAGCAACTTTTCCCTCGCCAAGTCGAAGATTTGGAAAGCAAGAGATCTAAAAAATGATCGGTTGTTGCAGGAAATGGCCACGTGACGCGACAGAAAAGAAGCCGGGCGCAAGATGAACACGAACGGGAATGTCGGCTCGCAGGAGGGTGGGAACGGTACCGATTACGGCTCGAGCGAGGAGACGGCCGCCCTGCTGAGCAGGGCGCCACCCCCGCCGGTCGTTGTTGCCGCGGCGTCTCAGGGCAAGCCGGTGCTCACGCGACAGGATCGAGCAACCTTTTTGGTTGCCTCGCCACAATTGTCCGTCTCGGGGCTCGGCGGCTCCGAGGAGAGCGGCACCACCGAGGATCCGGCCACGAGATCGGTACCGGACATCGAGCTATATTGCAGGCTCGACGGCGAGGCGCAGCAACCACAGCCGCAGCCGCCGCAGCCGCAGCCGCAAGCGCAGCAAGTGCAGCAAACGATCATAGCTACCGTGGGTTACAGGAGCCGGCAGCCTTCCCACCAGCACAGGTGTCGCTGCGATCGCAGAGACTCGTTGGCCCCTTCTTCGGCGCTCCATCTGGCGAGGAGCGTGTCAAGGTAAGCGAATTATCTTCGCCCCTTCAACGATAAATATCCGCGTATTTTTGTGATCGTAGAGTGCAATTGGTAATTGATCGTGAGAATAATTTTAATTGTAAAGATAATCTTGAAGATATACCGATTATATATTATAACGGTCATTGAGTCAATTATAAAATATTACGGAGTGTGGAGAAATCTTCGCCCCTTCAACGATAAATATCCGCGTATTTTTGTGATCGTAGAGTGCAATTGGTAATTGATCGTGAGAATAATTTTAATTGTAAAGATAATGTTGAAGATATACCGATTATATGTTATAACGGTCATTGAGTTGAATTATAAAATATTACGAGTGTGGAGAAATTGGATGATTTCAGTTGCACGTGGTTGCTCATTAAAATCCCGCTGTGGTCCATCGAGTCAAAAGTTAAATCCCCAATTCAACTCGATTACGAAATACACGGGGATATTGGCTAACCATAACTGGGATGTTTGAATTTATATGTAACCGGGGAAAGTTCAGAAACTTCGCCCGCAAATTCAAGACGAGTTGAAGAAGAGTTGAAACTCGTAATTTCCAGGATATTACGGCCCTTCCCCTTCCAACGCTTTCGACTTAACGCCTCTATCTAGATTACGAGCTACTGTTTATCAGATGTTTTAATAGTCCTTTCAAAATCATCGTGAACGATGAATTAACGTAATTTGGCCGGATTATTATCCCACCAGAAAATGATATATTTCCTCTGAAAATTTAGTTAGAGGTTCATCCCGTAGTTAGCTATCTCGGCCGCCATAATTCCGGAAAGGGCTTCGCTCGCGAAGGTCTCTGATACAATGTTAAACCCACGACCTCGTTTCAGAATTGGCCACGATCTACTAACCCCTATCACCATTATAATATTTTATTCTCTAATTGCTGCAAATTTTATTTTTTTTTTTTATATATCTTTGTTATACAACATGCAACAAAGAGAGAAAAGAAGAATAAATCGTGTGCAAACACGTTATAATTGTATCTGATACTCGTAGAAATTTGTGCAATTTGAGTAATTAGCTGGATTGTTTTTATGCAAAGTGCAAATCTGATATTCTGCGGTTATTTTCTGTGCACGTGAGAGATTCAAAACGAAATAAATTCTATCTATCATCGGGTTAATTTAATGTTATTTAACAGAAACTCGATATTCTTCCAAATTAGAAATTCTATTTATTGATATTAAAGTAAAATTGGACCCGAGTATTAACGAGATGCTCTCATTGTTATTATCTTAATATAACAATATTTTCCTTGATTCTCTGCTGTATAATTTCAAGACAAAGTTCAAGATCAGTCAAAAATTGCAAAAATAAAATATGATGCACACTGAATTCACTTCAATTCTTCGAAAATGCATATTCAAATTAATTAGAATTGAAAATCGAACTGTACTATAACATCAACGTTAAATGTGAAGAACGCGCAAAGAAGATCGAAAACTGTATTAAATTTCCCGTTCCATTCGAGAAACATCGAGGCAACGTCATTTAATCAATAGATAATTCACGATCGACGATAATTTTGTTTATTCGCTGTTCACTCGCAGCAATTTGCATCAACAATCGAATCATCGACGCAACATCCCCTATTTCGAGCTGATCATATATCCTTCAACGGCCATTTCACGCCATTTCCAACGGGCTGAAACTCTATTTACGATATGGTATCCTTCCCCTTCGCGATATATCGTTTCTCGTATGTTCTCTTTGTGAGAACCATATCCTTTTGTCCTCGATCAAGATTCGAAAATTCAGGAAAGATCCATCATCTCGATCTCGATTTTTCCACGTGTCTTTTTCACGATTTCTCGAGCGTGAAATTTGTCGGTACATGCCCGACAATTCCTTTCAAAGGAATTTCGTCTTTACGTCGCGTCTTATAACTCTTATAGATGGAATAACACGTGAAACGAACGTTCTTGAGACGATTTTTCAACTCGAATCAGTGTTTGCGATAAGAAGATTATTTTTTTTTTTTAAATCTTTGAAAATCGTGCGAGAAAATCCTCATCTCCTTTATTTCTTTCCTTCTCTGGTGACAGAAAGAAATATACAGGTGTTTATAAAAAAAAAAAAGAATATTTGCGCCAATGTTCAAACATCATCACGTCCCTCACGAGTTTCATTCTCACATTAACGCCTTCCTTACCTGTGGTTAAAAAAAGCAAACTGAAGTAATCTTGTTCCCCATCAAGATACTCGAGGAAGGCGCGATAATTGGCCACTTATTCTCTATATATCAGGCCCGGCAATTTGGTTTGAAATCACGCTGGCTGGTACTCTATCTCCTTGGAAAAATGTTTCCTCGTTTCTTTTCTCCGGTCATCTTCCTGTACGAAAACTGGCTCGCAATTTTTCCACTCGTGACCCGAACTCTCTTGGGCGAGAACGTTGGCTCGAGAGTTTCCGCTCTCGAAACGCTTTCCCCGCGTCCAAATCCAATTCCAATGAGAGAACACGGATCTCGATTCTTCGAGACAACGAACTTCTTCCATTTCAAGGGGCAAGAGATTGGAGTGTGCGTCCTCGAAGAAGGGACGAGATACTTGGACGACGTCTCCCCTCGCCTCTTCGCGATGTCCATGGTGTATCGAAAGGACAAAGCGGATAATTGTTCTCGAGTGAAAATTCTTGAACATCTACTGTTCCATCCACGTCGAAGATCGAGAAGTCAATTTTGCTTGGGAAATGGACTCGAGACTTGATGATTGAAATATCATTTCCTTGTGAGGAAGTCACGTTGACTTGTTTGCAAGTTTCACGGGATATTATTCGGATATAAGAATGATTCGTTCGAAAGCAAGAGTATGCGCGAAGAGTATTGAATGTTTCGAAAGGTAATAAGGGAAAACACATTTTTCCATTTAATAGAATTGAGAGAGAAAGAGAGAGAGAGAGAGAGAGAGAAAATTCTATATATAAATTCTATGCGAGGGAAAGAAAGAAATTTTTGAACATTCAATCAGAATTTCGATTATTGGATAATTTGGATATTTATAATTGTTCGAGACAGAAGATAAAATATAACGCTTTGCAAACTTTTGTAAACTCTCGACTTTTGATTCCAAGTATAGAAAAGTCGAGTTTGAGAACGCTGTATTCAAAGGGGAAACTCTTTGAAGCTGTGTTGGTTGTGCAGATAGCGTAGAGAAGGACGTATTTTTCAATTTTCGAATTCGAAAGAAAGTTTGAACGCATGACAGGTGACCGTGAATCACTATAAATTAATCCTATTAAACGGAGTCTCTGGTTGTTCAGAGACGGTAGCATTATTCCCAACGATGCACGAAGTTGTCGGGCGGGACGCCGTGCTAAAGATTTATGGATAAGGCGTCTGCAAAGAGAAACGCGGAGAGCATGGAATTTTCATTGGGATAGCATATGGCCTCGAATATAATATCCGAAAGGGGTTAGACGAGAGCTTTCGTGAGCACCGTCCAGGACCAGCAAAGGATAATAAAGCTGTGCCTCTGAAATTCTTCGTAAAGTGCCACTCTTCCTTAGACCACGAGGAAATTGAAATAAATGGCTTGACACTTGCACGTTATACTTTTATACACGAAAGATTTTCAAATTTTGAGCAAATATATGGAATGAAAAAAAGTTGAAGCTTAATTTTCGAAAAACGAAATACATTAGAAGATTAAAATTACTGCAAAATATGTAAATTTATCTTTCGAATTAGAAATGTCTGCGTGTACGATAACCGATCAAGAGTCTCTTGATAAACGCTTGATCGAAGGATAATTTATTGTTTTTTTTTTTGTATCTGAAATGGCGAATATAAATACAGCCAAATTATTTCGTCATTCTTTACACGCGATCTGTCTCTTTTAACAAAATAAATATTCCACGATAATATCGGAAAAGTTATAAAAGGGAAGAAAAATACAGAAAGATTCGCCTCTAGAGAAATCAGATCTTCGGCCCGACAAACTCGACCGAAATGTTAAACCACCTACGTTCCTACGTTTACATCAAATTCGCTCAAACTTTTCATCCAAATATATCCGTAATACAACGACGAATCTTGCGAGTGTTCCCCTGCTCGATTAAAATTGGTTCGAAAAACTCGTTCGCAGACTGATTCTGCGAATTGGAAATCTCGGCGATTCGTTCGAAAACGATAAAGCGACTCGTTGGCCAAAATTGGAAATCTCGTTCATTTTCGGTTTAATCGGCAGTCCGTTCGTGTTCGGGTAAAGTAGCGCGGCTGGCACGCGTCATAATCGCGTTATTTCGCATGTGCAGGATCTACTGACATCGAACGCTTTGACGTTTCGCCTAGCCAGGGTTACTGTTAACGATACCTCGAGGCAATTCTCTCTCTCTTTGCATCGACAACGTTCGAAGATGATGGACATTCCCTTGTTGTCGCAGCACAATTGCGGTCAAAGTCGAATTAGCTGTCTCGTTAAAGCGTCACACCCTTTTCTTCGTTTTTCTTCTTTTATCCTCTCGTTATATGCGACTTACTGTCGCATCGGGTTTGTCATCGGGCATCAAGTTGAAATTAGAGCGAGTTAACGGTGTCTTCAATTGGAGATTAAAAACAAACGATCGTGAAATTGTGTTAATTGTCGCGGGCGTAAAAACGAATAGACACGTTTTTTTTTTCCTTTTAAATTAAATTTCAGAATATTATTATTAACCCATTTACATTTCGATGTTATTTGGAGGATTGTTTGATGAAATTTTGTCGAAATTTACAATACATTGGACGATTTTCTTCAAACGACAAATTCGTTCATCAAATTTTGATTTACAAAGGAAAGACACTTTTCAATGTTTTGTTATTAAAGGAATTTTATTTAATTAAATTCAATTAAATTCAAACTTGATTGTTTTATATGCATCGACGAACGTATCTCATTCATCGATTCAACCTAGAACCAGAACTACGTTTTCTTATTTGCGAGTTAACGTTTACCACACAGAGAGCTTGGCAAAATAGTAAATCGTAGCAATCACGAACGGACTTGCAAATTAGACTTATATACAATGAAACATTCAAATCTTTACACAATGGTGGAATCGACTAAATAAATCTCTCGATGTTTACCGCAAGGAATGGTAAAATTAGTCGAGGAGAAATTAGAGTCGCCCATTTCGAAACCCAAATGGCAGATTTGAATTCTTCTCGATGCAGATGTGATCGATCCCAATCGTGCACGATTGTCAGCCGTTCAATATGTCACCGGCGTTGCTCAAATTAACACGCACACGCGTGTATCTGTATATATATATATATATATTGAATATATTACGTATATAGACAATGCATTCTAGTGATATAGTGATATAGTTCCATTGATATTCACGTATTTACCAGTCGCATAGGATAATTAACTCCCAATATCCCTAAACTGACAATATAGTCCCTTGTCCGCCCAATGAAATATCATTAATGGAATAACGATTGACGTATATATATATATATATATATATATATATATATATATATATATATATATA